GGTATGTCAGTTGCAGGTGTCGACTTCAGTGACCTGACAAATGGAAAGTTGCTGGTCTGCGAAAAACGCCGCACTAGAAGAGTTGAATTTGGCATTTCTTCAAAATTAAAGCCTTCAGCTTTCCCCGTTACCGAGTTAGCAGTTTCTCCACTAAAATTTTCACGTGTCCGTACGTGAGTATCGAACAGTTTTAAGGAGCTGAATTTGAAATCTTTTGGTCATACATGAATAGGGGACATCACCCTAAAATTTCAGCTCTCTAGCTTTTTTCGCACCCGAATTAGTGATTTTCGCGCCAAAATTTCCGCTTGCCCGTACGTGAGCCCAGGCTTTTCCAAACACCTGATTTTGGTCGTACATGAGTAGGAAACATTCCCTAAAGCTTCAGCTTTCTAGCTTATCCCTTCCCCGAGTAAGTAATTTTCGCTCCAAAACTTCCACGCGCTCGTATGTGGGATTTGGGCGCTTCTAAACACCTGCACGTACTTGAGTAGGGAGCATTCCCCTAAAGCTTCAGCTTTCTAGCTTTTTTCGTTCGCGAGTTAGTGATTTTCGCGCCAAAATTTCCACGTGCCCGTACGTGAGCCCTGAGCGGTGCTAAGGAGCTGAGTTTGAAAACTTTTGGTCGTCCATGAGTATGGAACATTCCCCAAAATTTCAACTTTCCAGCCTTTCTCATTCTCGGATTGTGAACTTTCCCGCCATAATTTTCACGTGCCCGTACGTGAGTCCCGGGCACTCCTGGGCAGCTGAATTTGAAATCTTTTTGTAATATGTGGGTAAGGAAAATTCTCCCAAGGTTTCAGCTTTCTAGCTTTTCTCGTTCCCGAGTTAGCGATTTTCGTACCAAAACTTTCACGTGCTCGTACGCGGGGCCTAGATGTGCGGGAGGACTGAAACCGCGATCCTGAAGTGGTACCTAGCTGGAAAACACACTGGCAAAATTTCAGCTTCAAAGCTTGCGTGATTAGCGAGTTGAAATACCCAGACAGACGAACACACACACACACGCACACACACACAAATATACATACACACACATATACTGACAGGTAGTTGCAATATGTGTTTTTGCTGCCTGTTGCAGCGCTCTAGCGCTGCACGGCAAAAACGCATAAAAACGGAAATCTGGCTCAAAAAGCATATGAACTAAGTGCAGGCGGATATTCGCAAAAAAAGCTATGG